TTTCAAGCTGGATGCCTGAGGTTTCATCCTTGAAATTTGTTGGTAGTGGTGTTTTGGCAGGCTTGCAATGCATCATATTTGCTTCTTCTAAAAGATCTAGAACGTACTTTTGTTGATTTAGAAACAAACCAGTTGGAGATTGATCCATTTCGATTCCAAGAAAGTATCGAAGTCTGCCAAGATCTTTGATTTTGAAGGTTGAATGTAATGTGGCTTTGAGGGCAGTTATTTCTTCTGGATTATCTCCCGTGACAATAAGATCATCAACATAAACAAGTACCACCAATCTTCCATGCGTACCAATCCTAGTGAACATTGAAGAATCTGCATTGCTTCGTTTAAAGCCGGATGACATAAGGACAGAACTAAGTTTTGAGTACCAAGCCCTTGGAGATTGCTTGAGACCGTAAATAGCCTTGTGAAGCTTGCAGGCTATTCCTTGTTCCTTCTCTCGTTCATGACCAGGTGATAGTCGCATGTATACCTCTTCTTCTAACTCTCCATGTAGGAAGGCATTTTTTACATCCATTTGATATAGAGACCAGTTTGAATTGATAGCCACCGAAAGAAGCACTCTAACTGTGTTCATCTTTGCCACAGGGGCAAAGGTTTCTTTGTAATCTACTCCGAAGGTTTGTGTGAAGCCCCTTGCAACTAACCTTGCCTTGTGCCGTTCTATGTTTCCATCTGAGTGAAATTTGGTCTTATAAATCCATCTTGCCCCAACCACACGTTGACCTTTTGGCAGAGAAACAATGCTCCAAGTTTGATTTTCATCAAGTGCCTTCAGTTCTTCAAGGATGGCTTGCCTCCATACAGGAGATTGGTGTGCCTCTTCGAAGGATCGAGGCTCAGAATTTTGGGATAACTTGGTCACAAAGACAGCATGAGATGGAGAGCTCTTGTTATGAAAAACCATTTGTCCAATAGGATGTCTAGGCGTGTAGATTTCAAAATCATCAAGCCTGGCTGAAGGTTGTCTGTTTCGAGAAGGATTCATTCGTGGAGGAGGAGGTTGTTCAAGTTGAGGCTCTCTCCTTTCGAGAATGAATTCTTCATTATCTGCTTCCATACTTTCAGGAGCTGGCTCTATCTCAACAGCTTCATTTTGCGGTGTTGACAGCCTTGTATCATCAAGGAAGAGAGGGGTAGGAAACACTTCATATGAGAGCTCCCCCTGAGGTTCATCATCATGCATTTGAAAGAAGGATTGAGTTTCATCAAAACGCACATCCCTGGATACACATACCTTTCTGGTCTTAGAGTCGTAGCATTTGTATCCCTTTTGGGAAGTTGAGTAACCTACGAATGCACATTTGATAGCCCTTGGATCAAGTTTATCTCGGTGAATAGTTTGAATGTGCACATAGCATACACATCCAAACACACGGAGATGACTTATGTCAATTTCTCTCCCCTTGAGAATTTGGTAAGGAGATTTGAACTTCAAGATTCTACTAGGAAGGCGATTGATGATGTATGCAGCGGTTTGTATAGCTTGAGACCAGAACTTCTTTGGAACTTTTGCTTGTAACATTAGTGATCGTGTTTTTTCAAGCAAATCTCGGTTCTTTCTTTCTGAAATGCCATTTTGTTGTGGCGTTCCTACACAACTTGTTTGTTGCAAAATTCCATGCTCACTTAAGTAAGTTGTCATGATTTTGGAAGTGTACTCAGACCCATTATCAGACCTTAAGATGCCAATTTTAGAGTTAAAATGATTTTGAATTAATTTATGAAAATTTTTGAAACACTGGAAAGCTTCATGTTTGAATTTAAGTAAATACACAAAAGTAGTTCTAGAGAAATCATCAATGAACGATATGTAAAATCTGTAACCATCAAAGGACTCTAAGGTGGCAGGTCCCCAAATGTCAGAATGGACTATTTCAAAGGCTTTGGTAGCTCTAGAGAGAGAGTGGGGAAAGGGTAACCTGGTGAACTTAGATTTTTGACGAACTTCACAATCTGGAATCACTTTACAGAAACTAGGAAAAAGAAAAGACATAACATGTGAAGAAGGGTGAGCTAATCTCATGTGCCACAGCTGCTCCTTGTTTACAGTGCTTGAGTTTACGTAGAAACTTTTTGGGAAACTTGAAGAGAATTTGACATAGTACAGTCCATTGAGGAAGAATCCTTTACCAATCGTTTCCTTCGAAACTTGGTCCTGGAAAATCACATAGTGAGTTGAAAAAATTGCAAGACAATTTAGCAAATGTGTTATTTTTCCTACTGACAATAGTTTGAAAGGAAAAGAAGGGACATGCATGACAAGGGATTCTTTGTTACACGAGAAGATTTTGAGTTTCCCTCTGCTTACTATACGAACTTTGGTGCCATTAGCTACGGAGACAAAAGAAGGAGTGGAAAAGTTTTGAAAATCATTTAGTAAAGATGCATCGTTAGTCATGTGATCTGAAGCTCCTGAGTCAACTATCCAAAAATCACAACTACTACTAAGATCCAAAGCAGTGGAGATAGTTGCAATAATACCTGGTATGTCATTTTGTGACACTGAGTTTGATTGTTCGAGGAAGCCAGCAAACTTGCCGAGCATGGCTGAATGAGTTTCATGATTTGTTGCTCCTTGTTTCTGTTGCAATAAGTTAGCGAATTCATTTATGAGAGCAATGGGACTAGAGGAAGAGTTTATCACATTATTGGAGACATTGTCGCAAACAAGATTTCCTCTAGGAGTGTAGGCAGGCTTCATTTGGTTTCTTGGTGCTCTTCCATCGTCATTGAACCTAGGTTTAAGTTCTGGATAAAGAATCCAGCACTTCTCTTTTATGTGTCCAATACCTGTACGACCTATCTTCACACAGTGAGAACACTTTAAGTCTGGTCGTTTTCCCTTGTATGGTCTGGAGAAGGTGAAGGCTCTTGCTTCTGATGGCCTAAAATTTGATTCTCCAACGACCATGTCTGCGTTCATGACCTTCTTTCTTACTTCTTCACGTTGAATAACGTTGCAGACCATCTGTAAAGTGGGAAGTTCAGGTGTCATTAAGAGATGGCTTCTAAGGTCTTCATAATCTGGTCCAATGCTGGCAAGCAACTGGAACACTTTGTCTTCTTCAGCACGCTTTAGAAGAATGGTTGTGTCCGTGGTATGAGGTCTGTAGAGATCCAATTCATTCCGTTTGGCCTTCAAGTTGCCAAGATGTTGAACAAAAAAGAGATTTCCCTGTTGTAATTCCGTAAGATCTTTCTTCAGCTGAAAGACTCGCGCAGCATTGTTTAGATCTCCATACATGTCTCGTACGGAATTCCAAAGTTGGTGAGATGATACTGAGTAGCTGAAAATCTCAGCCATCTTTGGTTCCATAAAGTTTAACAGCCAAGACATGATAAGTTGATCTTGGGATACCCATGCTGCATAATCCGGTGCAATTGTTTCGGGGATGATGTCATCCTTTTGAATGAATGGGAGCTTTCCACGTCCTCCAAGAGCGAGAGAAATAGCTCGTGACCAGGGCAGGTAGTTGAATTCGTTTAGAAGCACAGAGCTCAAACATTGAATTGGATTGGTATCCATGGTTTCGTTTTTTGAAGTTTTTTCTGCTGGTATGGCCATAATGGCTCAACTGGTTTGGATTTGGTGGGTTTTTCGGAAGAACACAAAAGCAGGTCCAAGAGGAATCACTGCTCTGATACCATATGGACAATTTTATGTATATATCATGTATAAAATAGTTTACAAGATCAACCATAAATAGGAGAGGAATACAAGAAAGAAAGTGGAGGAATGGTGCGGACAGGGATGGCAGCTCAGCAAGCATGAGTGAAGACCTGACCTCCACTATCTCTAACTTAAACTAATACCTAGCTTTTCATGATGATGGAATATTGCTCTTAAATAAGCCTAAAGTAAACAAACAAGCAGCTAACCCTAACCGAAAGTAAGATGACAATGAGTTGTTATCCATCACCAACTAAACAATGACAACTAGACAAACCCTACCACCAATAATAATAGATACTTCAATAGTTCTCCATTCTTTTGGAAACCATATCACCAGATGCACAAATGTTTTAGTGGAGACTGGAGACAGTAATCTGAGAATCTTTTTTTTTTCTTTTTTTTCTTTTTTTTTGTATAAGAGTTAGAGATTTCTTCCTAGTCCTTCTAAATTTTTGGGTATTTGCAAATCGTCTTTATTAAATTATAGAAATGCTTCATATAGCATGGAAGTCATCATGGCAATGTTTTCGCAAGCTTTGACGTCCTTCACGAAAATTTTCATCTAATTTCATCAGTTTAACATGATTGACACTTATCAAACTTAAGATGAGGTGAATCATCTTTAACTACCTGTCATTGACAGTTCGAGATAATTAGCCTTAACACCATGTCAAATATATTTGGAATTTGATTGGTGTGCTTTATTCTTTAAAAATTTTACTATGTAACCCTATTTTCACAAAGAAAAGTATTTGGGTTTGATGCCAGGGGCCTCATTCTGATTTTGATGGACCAAATTCTGGCAGTTCAGCTTGTGTTGCTATTATCCGGAACAAACAAGTTCTTGTTGCCAATGCCGGTGATTCTCGCTCCGTAATATCCAGGAAGGGTGAGGTATGCTGCAGTTTCAATGAAATTTTTTACCTATGGAATATATTGTCGTAGTTATGCCAGTTCCCTGTCTGCGGATATCCCTATCGGTACAATTTTCGTTGGGATCAATGCAAGACCTGTAGTGCCATAACGTTAAGGAAGATTTATTTATATGCAATACTAGAGTAAAGTTTTCTCTTTTTCCGTATCTTCTTAAGCTCCAATCACTCTCATTCTCAAATCACCTTAGAGTCTTCTTCCTTTAGTTTGCTCCTTCAGGTATCCATGAAACCTGAGAATCTTTTTTTCTTGCTGTATAAGAGTTTGAGATTTCTTGTCCAGTCCCTTCTAAATTTTAGGGTACTTCGTCTTTATCAAATTATAGAAGTGCTTCATATAGCATGGAACTATGTAAGTCATCGTGGCAAGGTTTTCGACAGAGAAAAAAGAAGTGCTTCATTACAGAACATAGCTAGAAGTGTTTCTTATAGCATACAAATCATCTTTATTAGAGAACATGATCAACATTTGCCAACTGTTCCGTAAAGAAAAGAGAAAGAAGAAGAAACTAAACACAAAACAAATGTCCATAGATAAACTTCGACTGATTGAAATACAAAAGATTAAGGCTCTCCTCACAACATGCTATCTGATCTTGCCGGCATCCTCCTGATCAAGTTTTGCAGGAGCGAAGGGAATCTATCCCGACATTTTGGATGTCTCATTGCATAAACTCCTGCAAGCCAAACTATCAACTTCAACGAGCAGATATAAAATAGGATCATACCAATAATACAGAAGATCATAAATAAAGTTGTGGCTCTTGGATCCCTCCAACTCAGCAGAGACTGCACCCTTTCACCTTGTGTCGCTATGTCCCCCAACACTGCCTGAATCCTCCCTGCAATGCCTCGAAGACGATCATATCTTCGTTTCAGAACATCACCAGTCTTTTTTGTTGGAAAAGTATCAAACTCTTCGTCCAAATCCTCTGGATGTACGCCATATGCTTGTGACAGTTCTGTGTCTATGTGCACAATTTGTCTAGGCCTCTTCCGGTAATTCCAAACCCCTTTCAGCAACAGCAATAAAAACATTAAGCAAATTGTCGGACCGGGGAAAAAAAGCATGACCGTGAAGGCAACGTGAACAAGCACCGTGGTAATGGTGTTAGTCCATTTCCGTATTTTATCAAACCCTTTGAACATCATGACCAATCCATCAAATAGCTTGATGATCCTGACAAAATTGGCCTTGCCTCTTCGAAAACTCCACAGATGCGCAGTGGAATCTAACATGTAATCCACAACCTCTCTCCTAAGTGGTGGCTCAGCCCGGCTCAACCTCAACCAGAGAATCAATGCAGCTTGGTGTCGTAAACTAGCAAGCTGATATATAGACAGTGGGAGAATGTAGTGCATCTTAGGCAGCAGAGGCCGTGTGTATGTGTGAAGCATGTTAGGCAAAGACGGACATGAAAATCTCAGAGCCAGTTGGATTTCACCCATCTTTTTCACCCCAGTAGGTTGTAGAACCACAAGAGGATATGAATGCGTGTAAATCCTACCAGTTTCAAGGGTAGATAGACGGATCTTTACCTTCCCAATACTCAAATCCATGCCCAGTTTATCCCCACCCTGCAAGTTCCCATTGTCGAAAACTCCAATGGTAATGACAGTGCATGGATCATAGACTTCCCATGTGTATTGTTCGTTCCACTTGGGAGACAAACAATCAACAACCGTCCTTGCTCGCACCCACTTTGTCCCATATTTTGCTACACAATATGCGTCAACACGATTCTTAGGCTTCATTGGTGACAAACCATTTGCATTCAAGATTCCCAATTCCAAAATCCCGATCGGAGGCTTCCAAAGAAGCTTTGCAGTTGGCCTAAGATCACTAGTACTGTGAGCTGGCTCGTCAAGAACATGATATCCTCCATCCAAACTCACCCTTATTTGGATCTTACTCGCAAACTTCACCTCCTTCAGCACACCCTCAACTACTTCAACCGTCCCAAGATTATACCACTTGGGAGTAGCCGGAGTAGCGTCTATCCTCTTATCCACATCCCTCAAAGGAATCACAATCTGCCCGGCAGATTCCTCCTTGTTATTCGTTTTCTCCTGCACACTTACCACCAAAGGATCATCGAACGGTTCTGCAACAACAAACATTAGATCCTCATTCCAAGTAGGGTTGAAATTCTTATCCGTCGAGACTCCACTTCTCAAAACCACATTCCCGAACTGAGCCTTCACAAAAAACTCCGGTGCTTGCTTTCTGTTGTTGTCTTTTAACACAAGATCCTGAGCTTGAATCACATTCACTCTCATGTACCAAAGCCTAGGTGAAAGGTAAACCTTCGAACGAGTACTCGAAAGTCCATCCCCACTTACCGATGCAACATCAGCGTGCCAAGCATCTGGAAAGGCCTCATCTGCTTGCGTCCCAATCCAATAAGAAAGCATTAGGTCTCCTCTAATCTTGGCCTTATTTTGATCCTCCAGCATGTACCATTGCGGCGCCAATGGACTATCCGGCGGAACCCTACTAGGACACTCAGCCATAGCAAAACCAAACATCCCAATGGTTCCATGATCACCACCTTGTCCAACAACAGCCTTGTCCTTCACCAAAATCTCCATACTAACAGCTTGAATTCTGTCTTTCGAAAAAGCAAACACTTGGTTCCATTCGGGGTTTGGATTTTTTTTGAAAGGTGTTGTTACTGCCCGGTAGTTTCCGAGATTCAGTTCAACATAAGGGTCTGCGGTAGGTGGCAAATCTCTGGCTTTCACTATCCTGACATAGAGATACTGCATGTGCTCGACAAGATCAAAGGAGGTCATGGGGCCCGTGGAGAACCTCCGGCCAGTGATGTTCGGCGAGGTCTCCTTTAGGGAGAAATCTTCTTTTGCTGTGTTCTGCTTAGCCATTTCTTCGCACTGCAAGAATTTATGTATGTTTTAGAACCAAATGAATAACAAAAATTAATAATAATATTATACAAAAAACTAAATTACAAAAGCATTAGAAGCACATTGCAACATTAACAAGATCAAATCCTTAGAGGGTTTTGATTTCAAGAAACCATGAATTACCCAAAACCCTTAAGAATATCAGCGATGAAAACAACACAATCATTAATCATTGAGAAAAATACATAAAAAAATCATCAAGTACAAATTCTTGGTGAAAAAAAATAAAAATAGAAAACAGACTAGAAATTGGAAAATTACCGCAGAGGAGAAGGATTGTATTGAAAGCCAGGGAAAGATACAGAAGAAATAGTCTAGCCTCTTGAAGGTAGAGCAATGGATTTTGGTGAGTTAAAACATAAACCCTAAGGATTTTCAAAAATGAAAAAAAAAATAAAGAGGAGGGTTTTCAGGAGATTTGTAAATGGAAAATATAAGGCTAATTAAATGTGGGAAGATTTTTATAAAAATAGAAATAAAATTAAAGAATATGCATTGGATTTGGTTTTGAAAGTAGGAAGAGAGAGAGGGAGCGAATATCTGCTGCATGTATTCGTTAGTTACTGAATTAAATGTGTCGTGGTAATTTATGGTTTTTATTTTCTCTTAATTTTCTGTACATTTTGGTTTTTTTTAAATTAAATGATGGATATATATACCATTTGAAATAAATGGTGTTGGTAAGGGCTTCCTAAATTTTAATAAGGAAATTTTATTTAAACTCATCTAACATATTTTTACACCCAACTTACTCTTTGCACTCATTTGATTTTTAACTAAACTATTAATGTTTCTTTAAACTCAAATTTAATACCTAATATACCCTCATAAACTCAATTCAATACGTGGATTTATCTTTGCACCCACTTGTTTGCCCTTTAGTATCGTGCTTCAGGCATGCACAAAAAAAGTTCATCTGGATATTCAAAATCTAGTACAATAAGCACAATTTGTAGGTACAGAAAGTCAAGTATAGGACCATTGCATGTAGTCATGTAGTTGTTACCAAAATTGAACAACATTTAATACATGTTACAATGTATGTTTAAACGCAGAGTTTAATCTGAACTCAGAACAATTTTGTTGAGTAAATCCTAGCCTAGAAGCACCTACATCAAAATGTAGAAGGGTATCCACCAATTGATAACCCCCTATTACCATTGAAGTCTTCAAGTTCAAACCTCCATCCAAAAACCCTAGACACATAACTTCGTTGCACTTGAACCATCGAGTTTCTGCCGTGAATTCTCCACTTCACCAACTCAATTTGCAACACCAGATCGATAATCGGCACTTTTGGACCGATCAACGTGCCATCTTTTTTTCGTGAACTAAAACATTGCCCAAATGGTGCCACAAGGGAAACCCTAGTCATGTTCATAGACATTGCAACCTACTTATAAGCTTTAGTAAAAAAAAATTCACCATCTTCTGTGAAATTCAAATGAAGTCCAAATATATGTAAAAAAAATTTACCCCAAATTTGGACAGAACTTAATTAACACTAAACATTATTAATGACAGTAAATCATCTTAGAGTCAAATTGCATTATAATTAAAGTGTGAAATCGGAAATACTAGTTTAGTACATGAAATTTTAAGAGAATGTTCATGTTAAAGACTTGAAGCTTATTTTTGTCTTCCTCTCAAGAATCATTCTTGAGGGGTCTTGAGCAATACGTTTCGTGCATAATACACAAATTGAGGTCCATGGGTGTCGAAAAATACTTCGATGTTTTAATCATCTTGAAGATCCACAATATTATTAGTGGCTACATTCTCTAGCCCTCGAAGTTACTTAAATTGATCCACACGCCCCTGGTATTTTGAGTACAAGTTTTTCACTCTAATATCACTGCTCATTTAACTCTTTTTGTGCACATGGTAGAAATTTGAAAATAACTTATATTCTTAGTCCTAGTATCAAGGAAACAACTAAGCTAGATAATGCAAAGGAATCATGGTTTTCGCTTCAGAACCGTAAGAAAGGAGATCGTATCGAAGTCAGACCTGTATTAATTTAGAGGCACATCAAGGCTATTGGAAACAACCAAGGTTGAGCATAATCGTATAGTTTTCTAATTGCAATCAAGGCTAATGCAATTGCAGATCGTGTCGAAGTCAGATCATGGTTTTCTAATTGCAACTCTTGGTTTGTCAATTCAACCAGTTATTGGGTCCTTTCACATTGGACATTTTTCATTGTTGGATGCTTTCGTTGTATTTGTTGAAAAAAAATTACAGTAAAGTAACTTCTACACTCTAAAAAATTGAAATCAAACGAACAAAAAATTCATAAATTGAGTCATACCTTGGTTGGAGGATTCAAAACTTCAAAATCACCATCCATCAATAAAAAAAAATTATTTCTCTCTATGAGAGCTATTAGGATTTTAGCCAGAATGAACGTAGGATAAACAAAGAATGATCGTAGGGTTTAATTATAGTGTTTAGGTTTATTGATAAATTTGAGTTTTATTATTAATTTCATTTTGTACTTAATAGTAATTATACAATAGGGTAAAATAGACAATTAACATTTAAAATTTAAGTTGGATGATAAAAGAGGTTAAATGGGTTTAAATAAAATTTCCCATTTTAATATCAACGTCAGATTAAATCATCAAAAGGATCGTTATGATCCCCCGTCTGCCGCACTTTTCACTTGGGTAAAACTCACTTAACAAACTGCTCATGATGCAGTTTATTTTTCGTACATATAGTAGCCATTTAGGGGTTATTATTGTTGTCTTGTTTAAGCAAATTCACCTCCAGATCATTTTCTTGGTCACTGAAGTATTGTACCCAAATGTTACTTATGTATTGTTTGGGATGATTAATGAAAGATGAATCTATCGTTGCTTGTATAAAGAAACTGCTCCGACCCCAACTTTTGTACTCAAGCTTTTAGGAATTGAGTTTCTGCCATTGTGTTGCTTTACTGCCGACTTTGTCTGTGATTCCTTATTAAAGTTTTAAATGCAGGCATACAATTTGTCTAAAGATCATAAACCTGACATGGAGAATGAGAAAGAATTCTCAAGGCTGGTGGATTTATCCAAGTTGGGAGGGTCAATGGAAGTTTGAACTTGGCGAGAGCGATTGGTACGAAAAATTTCCTTACCCTTTGAAAGGAGAAACTGGGAAATAACCCTTTTTTTCATTTGAATTTCATGTATTTAAATGTTGTTGCTTGCAGGGGATGCGGAACTCAAGCAGAACAAACAGTTGCCCGTTGAAATGCAGATTGTGACAGCCAATCCCGACATAACTAGCGTATGCAGCATTTCATTTCAGAACTAAATGATGTGAAATTGGGATGAGAAACTTGAACCGTATATACTTACAACCAATCTTATAAACAAAACAAAGTGTTATTTTTTTTCGAGGAAAGGTATTCCTGTGATCCAAGTTATATAATCTAGATGCTAGTCAGACTTCCAAAGTTTTAAAGGAAGAAAGTTTCACTAATTTCTGTTTTTAATTCAAAATTTCCCTTTCATGTAGGTTGAGCTTTTTGATGATGATGAGTTTCTGGTCATAGCCTGTGATGGGATATGGTAAAGTTTCCTTTGTAATAAACTTTCCTATAAAAAAAATAACTTCTTGTTGATACATTAACGTAATAACATGCACACGTAGACTTTACATTCTGCTACTTTGTTGAAACGCTGATGCAAGCTCTCTCCAGGGACTGCATGTGAAGTCAACAACTTGTGGACTACGTTCGGGAACAATTAAAACATGTAAGTTGACGAACCTCACTGAGATTTCCAAATATATACCATTTGAGTGACATATCATATTCGTATGATAATGCAGGAAAGTAAACTGTCAGTGGTTTGTGAGAGAGTGTTTGAAAGGTGCTTGGCACCATCATCTGGTGGAGAGGGATGTGACAACACGACAATGATCCTGGTTCAGTTTAAGAAACCTGTTAATTCAACTGCATCTGTTGAGAACCAGCCAATCGCATCTAATCCGTCATCCGAGAAGGAAAAAACCACAGCAAAAGCTAAATAGATCTTCTGGTTGGTCCTACAGTGGAACTATATAGAATGACTGCATTTCTGCAAGTTGTGACTTTGGCCATCCCACGAATCATAAGTTCGTTCAAATTAGGATGCCGTTATCATGACAGTACACGTTCACGGTATTTTGTCAAATAGCAGTATAGCTCGAGTTATGTACATGTCCAGGAATTTGTCATTCGGTTCTCTCCTGAGTATGTCTTTCAGTTCTCTCCACGGTTTGAAGAGCTTGCCTACAAATTCTTTTAGGACGGAACATTTTCTTTAGATGCAACCTGACCAAACAAAGATCAAGAATGTTATTCGTTTTCTTTCGTATTGCTTGTGAAGTTTGATCGAGCAATAATTCATTGAATCAACACCATGCAGTGGCTATACTCGATTACGAACAATGAAAATTTTGAATTGTTGGATGCATCTCTAATAATTAATAAGTTCAAAATTCTTGTTACTGCTTCAGTTAAATTAAACATGGTAAATACCAAAAATAGGTACGTATAACAATATTTGAGATTTCTTGTATATTCATTAATCTCCAAAATGGAGTATATATAGGAGTTACATTTGGTATTACATATAGACTTCGTCAATGTCGGACAACAAACTACTATTTACACTTTAACCAATATATAACTCGCAACACTCCCCCTCAAGTTAGAGCAAAGATGTCATGCATGTCCAACTTGTCAAGCGAGTTGGAAAACACACTATTAGACACCGCCTTAGTAAGCACATCAGCAAGTTGATCTTCAAATCCCACAAACGGAAACATAATAATTCCAGCATCCTATTTTTCCTTGATGAAATGTCGATATCAATCTCCACATGTTTTGTTTTATCATGTTGCACTGGATTATAAGCAATCTGAATAGCAGCCTTGTTATTACAATAGAGTTTCATAGCACCCTTGGGTTTAAATCCAAGATCTTTCAACAATTTTTTCAACCACAACAACTCACATACACCATGAGACATACCACAGAACTCAACTTCAGCACTTGACCTATCCACCACTTTTTGTTTCCTGCTTCTCCAAGTAACTAGATTACCACCCACAAATATAAAATATCCAGATGTAGATCGCCGGTCAATGATAGAACCTACCCAATCTGCATCTGTATACCCTTCGACATTCAAATGACCATTCTTGGAGAAAACCAAGCCTCAGCAGCCATCTTCAATTACCTCAAAATATGGATTACTGCATCCATATGAGCTTCATTGGGTGAGTGCATAAACTAACTTACCAAACTAACTGCACAAGCAATGTCAGGGCAAGTGTGAGACAAAATAAATTAATCTCCCCACAAGCCTCTGATATTGTTCCTTATGGGTAAGAACTTGATCCAAAATAAGCCCAGACGATGATTCTACTCAATCAGAGTATCAACAGGTTTGCAATCTAACACACCTATTTCAGCTAACAAATCAACAACATACTTCCGTTGAGACAGAAAAATATCGTGCTTAGATCGTGCAACCTCAATTCCAAGAAAATACTTCAATTCATCCAATTCTTTCATCTCAAATTCAGTAGCTAGATACTTCTGAAGGCGTTGTATCTCCTTCTGATCATCACTGGTCACTATCATGTCATCAACATAAATAATCAATGCAGTTAGCTAACCATTTTGTCACTTTAGAAACAAAGTATGATCTGAATGACTCTGGAAATACCCAAACTTCTTTATTGAACTTGTAAACCTCATAAACCACGCTCTAGGAGATTGTTCCAAACCATACAAAGCCTTTCGCAATCTACACACAACACCTTTTCCAGGAGATATTCTGATACCAAGTGGGAGATCCATACAAACTTCCTCCTTGAGATTACCATGAAGGAAAGCACTCTTAACATCAAACTGCAATAAGAACCAATCATGATTTGCTGCTAAGGACAAAAGTACACGCACAGTATTAAGTTTGGCAACAGAAGCAAAAATCTTCTGATAGTCCATCCCATAGGTTTGAGTATAACCCTTAGCAACTAATCTGGCTACTTTATGCTTAATACTGAACACCTATCTACATCCAACAGCTTTCTTCCCTTTCAGCAAAGGAACTAAATCCCAAGTCGAATTCTTTTCAAAAGCTTCCATCTCAACATTCATGGCACTAACCCACTTAGGGTCAGACAAAGCATCCTACAATTTTGTTGGAACTGATACACT